AACAAACATTTATGTTCAAGCATAGGACATCAACTCAAGCAATTGCTTTTGCAAGTCTCTTAATAAAAAAATTATCTATAAATGAAATATATTATAACACAAGAATCATTTTAAAATTAAACAAGTAAAAAATGTAACAAGTTTGAAAATTATCTTCTATTAGTCCGAAATGAATGTCTAATTATCACCATTGTAAAGATGGATGTGCGGATCATCCATTAAAAATTACGAAATCATTTTCATGTTTCATAATTCTTCCGTCTCACCACTCGCTTAACTTATAGGATCCGTTTGATTATTGGAATCTCTCCCCATTGTAACCAGTAACTCCCCTTTCAATTGGCTTTTTTAAAAAGCATCCATCAACATCAATAATCTTCGCCTCCTTCTATAAAACTTTTTCTCATTGCTCTAAAGCATGTTAGTATAGGTGCTCAAGATCCAACCTTATTTGGATGGGTTTGAGTTATCCTATTATTGTGTTATTTATATTATTTATAATAAAAGAAGTCTTTCTATTAATTCTTGTCATTTACATTTATTCATTGAATAAAATTAGATAGAAGTCCCTATGATATGCATTTGCATTAGTGATTGATCGAAAGATGTGAGACAAACACTAATGCACATAAATGATATCATTAAATATCTCAAGTTGTAATATGGTCAAAAATGGACATTGACTATATGCGATAAGACGCTATGCTCATGTTATAAGATAGCGAGTAGGAGATCTCATACCTATTGGCATGGTGATGCCAAAGCAAGCACTTAGGTGACTTATATAAGAGAGCATGTCACTAGACTTGACTCACCATGAGAACCCATTTGGTATAGACTATTAAAATCTTATACGAGATGGGTACAACTAGTCCTTAGATTTGAAGTCATTATGATTATCTCATTAGAGGATTTACGTACTTTAACACTCATTTTGATGGACCTAGTAAAGGGTTACACATGGACGATTTGTTGGGTACACTAGGAATCTAATAGAAGTAGGTGAATAACTAAGATAAAATATATCATTCCTTGTATGCTAAAGGAGTTATCACATTGTACTTTAATGAATGTCTACTTAGGAAATCTGTGGTCACAATAGGAGTACACTAATAGAGCATAATTGGTTTACTCTAATAGCTAAGACATTTAGGAATCGAAGAAAACTTATGTAATCATGATCAAACAAGACTAATAACCAAGTTCGAGATCACATTGTGATAAGTTGATATGAGGACTAAATTGTATGGTAACCATACTCGTGAAAGGTAATTACAAATTAATTAATCCTCTTAAATAATTAGATAGTTATGATGCTTTGCTAGAGGCTAATCTTGATTTATGTATCAAGAGATAAAAGAGTGTTTTTTATTCTTGATACATTACCAATATATCTAGGAGTCTATTGAGTCACACATATAAGTTTAAACATTCATATGATTAAAGAGAAACAAAGATGTCGAAAAAGTTTCTAATTTTGAAAGTTTTCTATTTTGGAAAAGGTTTTCGAAAATAGAAAGTTTTCTAAAATGGAAGTTTCCTAAATTGGAAATTTTTCTAATTTAGGTGTTCCTAATTTGGAAGTTAGTTTCAAATTTCGAAGTAAATAACCTAAAATGAAAATTAGTTTTCTAATTTAGGTTTAAAGGTAATTTAGGTGATTATTTCCTAATGTGAATCTTTTAAAATTATCTAACTTAGTTTATTTGGATAGTCCAAATTAATTAATTGGGCCAAAATAATTTTGGGCCAATAGGTTTAATTAAAAGCCCGAAAGATATTTTGGTGGAATGACAAACATGAACCCATTGGATAAGGATGAATGTTTTATGATAAATATCAAAAGCTCACATGTTAAATAACTCCTAACCCTCGAAGAATTTGAAAGCAACAACCAAGAGTCCAATTAGGACTAGTTGTTGCCCCTTCTGTCCTTGGAGGACAAAGAAGCCTCTCCCTAATAAATATGGGAAAGAGGTACGACAAACATAAGTTTTTGGAAGAGAGAGAAAATTCGACACAAAGAAAAATAAAGAGGGCACATGGCATCAAGTCAAAAGGGAGGGAAATAGTTTTCTCCTAAAAAACACTAAAACATGCCACCCTCTCTCTCTCTCTCTCTCTCTCTCTCTCTCTCTCTCTCTCTCGGGTTGTCATAAAGTTACCCTAATTAGATTTCTATAAGAAACACTAAACAAGTCAAAAAAATAGAGCTAGCACTCTATCAATTTTAAGTACTTCTTTTATGGGTGCTTGGACTACATGGATTATCAATAAAGGTCACACACTTAGACGGCTCTTTTCCGTAAAGTTTAAATCTACACTATAAAAGGTAATTCTTTATTTATCTTTTTAATTCAAGAATATATGATTAGTTAATTCAACGACATGATCTTGAATATTTTAAATGGAGGAAATTTTTATTTTATTCGCACCTCTATAGGATGCATGATCCTTCAAAGCAAACTTACATCCTTATGAACTCATTGGTCTCCGGCTTAGATTTCACAATAACAGTAATGTCTTTGTTAATTTTTTTGATTTCTTCAACATAATCTTTAAGTTGTGCAAATTTCACCTATACATCTCCACACAATAACTTTATAACTCTATTCCTTACAAAACTTGCTTGAGTTAGTGAGATCTTCAACCCCAAATATGCATGAGCTTGGGCAATAATTTTTCTTAAAGACATCTTCAAACATAATCTTTAATGCCTTGTGATTAATTCATCGACCAAAAGCTTGTAATTAACACATATGCTCATGAAGCCGACATCACATGTTTGTTCTAGCCCATATGTCTTCACCACCCGAACTTGATGTCCCACTCGCGCAAAGAACACAAACAATTTCACTTGTATTTCTCATCTTTGCATTCAACCCTAATACTAACACGATCATCCTTTACAAACTTCATAGCTCTTATGTGCTTCATTCGATGCTTTATAACAGCTTGTCTAAACATTTTTTTATTCAAAAATACCATATCAATCTGAAAGTGAGGAACTTCATTCTTCTCATCATATATAATAGTCTTTTTTTTCATCATTTTACCATGTTTTGTATCTAAATCATCATTAGTAATTGATAAATACATCAATCTTTCATCATAATGATACTCATTTTCCCTCTCTATTTCTACATCTCTTGTAAAATAATTATCCTCATCAACTTGTAATATTCATATAACCATGCTTCTTGGCAAGCTCCAATAAAAAAATAAAAAAAACCATCCTCATCAACGTTAACATCAACCACAATACCCCCTTCGTACGTCATAAATAAATCGACACCTCCAAAAGTTCTATGTAATTTTCCCCCAATATGAACCCTTAGCTTACCCTTCTGAAGGACTACTGTGGAGAGACAATGACGGATAAAAAACATTAACAAATGTCATACAACATTTCAAAAACCAAAAGGAAACTTAAGAATTAACCTATTGAAAAATTATCATACCGTATCTCCATTTGAGTCCGTAACTTAGTCTTATTGGAAAACTTATGTCATGGAGAAAGAGTGAGCGAGAAGAAGATAAGAAGATAGGACGAAGAATTAGAGAGAAGATAAAATGAGTTATAGCAGAGCTTTCCTCACAAATTAACGAACAAGAAAAACTCGTAGGTTGCTTGACAAAAACACAAAGAAGAAGAAGAACCGAGGGTCGTGTTCGACTTTCGATTGTTACTTAAAGGCATAAGGAGAAAGAAAATTAGAGTTAGGTTAGAATTGAGAAGGAAACATTTAGGATATAAGGGGTTTTTAAGTGGGGGCAATTTGGGATTTTTTTTATTTTATTTAAATCTTTACCGATATTACAAATTGAGAGGGAAAAAATTAATGTCACGTGTCGACATCCTATTATTTTTAATTGAAAATTATCTCCGATGCCAAAAAATATGATCAAAAGAATTAAAAGCAAACGCAAAATAGAATAGAAGGATACGATAGTTGAAACTTTTAATAGAGGAACATAATTAAAAAAAAAAAAGTAAAAGTGCATTCTAAACTTTAACCCATAAAGTAAATAGTTATTTGCATATGAGTGCGCAGTGTTGTGTGGATGGGGAGTTACTGTTTATTGGTAATCGGTAATAAAAGTGTAATGGGCTTGTCGAGAAGGAAAGCAAACTATAATTAACTGGATAGGAAAGATCCGAACCCGGAAATAAAAGATGCGGTGGTATCTTCGTTGAAACCTGAAGTAACTAACAAACGTACTTTCAGTTACAGTTGTTTCAAAAAAAAAAAAAAAACAAAACAGAGTTTTAATAGATGGATTCCACCTGTCTATGCACTGTAAGTATGCGTGGTTCAACTCTTCATTTAGTGTTCTTTTTATTCTGATCTGGGTCTTTATTTTTATTTTTTTTTAACATCCATTCTTTCCTGGGTTTTGATTATTTTCCAAAGTAGACTTGTATTGATCATGAACTGTTGAAATGGATCGTGATTATTATGCATGAGGTTGTTTGTTGATATTTCAGGCTATGTATTTGAAGTTTTGCAATTTGTGTTGCTTACACATAATTTATTTGAGCGAGGTATAGTAGAATCAACTTACTTAACAAAAATTTGTGTCTTTCTGGCCAATCTTGATCTTATCTTTAATTAGGAAAGTATAAGAGCGACAGTCATTATGAATTTGCTTTGAATAGTAATAGAATAAAATAGGATTTCTTTCAATCTCTGTGTTTTCCAATAGTTGCATACCATCTTTGCCGGGATGCTTGTGGGGATAGTTATAATCTTTTAAACAACGCGTTATCAAGTAGTAATTTGTCTATGCAAGTATGAAGTTTGAGATAGCAGAGGATGAACTCGAGGAATATGAGTCTATGCTGAATTTTTTTTTTTTTTTTTTTTTTGTCTTTAATTTCATAACTGTTGCGTTGGCTTCTTTTTGAAGAATCAGGATGAGTTTTTCCGGATGGATATAGCTAATGGGAAGGCATCGATGACTTGATGTTTCCGTTATTGTTATAATAATAAATTATCATGGCTGGGTTGGAGGAGCTAAAAAAGAAGCTTACACCATTGTTTGATGCTGAAAGGGGCTTCTCATCCGGGTCAACCTTGGACCCTAGTGATTCTTACGTGGTGAGTTTCCCATACAAAGAGAATTGTGTATTCTAGTTCAAGGACTTTTTGATAAAATTCTGTTGGGTTTGTGAAGCTGTCAGATGGTGGGACTGTAAACTTACTAAGCAGATCATATGGAGTGTACAATATAAATGAGCTGGGATTGCAGAAATGCACTTCTTCACCTGAAGATGAAACAGACCATAGCGAAAAGACATATCAATGTGCCTCTCATGAGATGAGGATTTTTGGAGCAATAGGAAGTGGTGCTAGCAGTGTTGTTCAGAGAGCTATCCATATTCCTATGCATAGAATTCTTGCCTTGAAGAAAATTAACATTTTTGAAAAGGTCAGCATCATATTTCTTGCTCATGATTTCTATTGGCATCCTACTTCTTGCTCATAATTTCTATTATTGTCTTGATGCGAGTTGGATTCTTGCTTCTTAGGCTCTAGTTTTTGCTTGGATGGTCGACAGATGGGTTGACATACTATTTTCTGTTTTCAATTCACTTTGATAATTTCAAGTTCTACTAAATAATTCCCATTTGGCAAAAATGTATGCTTAACTATAAGGCAATTATTCCGTAGAATACTGTGGATATCATGCTTGAACATTTGCCTATGAGTTTTGTTATCCAATGAGAAAAATGCAGTTTCTATGTGTTGATACTGAGAGGTGTCCCGTGACATGCACTATGCTTGGTTGGGTGAAGAGGAAGGAAAGAGAGTAAATAAATAGAAGGGGAGGGCAAGTAAAGGCAGAGTGATCATTGTAGGTTTTGTTTCAATGTATGGAAGGTATAAAGGGTACCTTCCTCTTGTTTGCTTAGAAGGTAGAAAGGACTGTGAGACTGTAAAGGCAAATGTATTCAATCTTACCAAACATTCTAGAGGACTTAAGGTTGACTTTGAAAGAAAAAGGGATTAAATCATAAATCCTACTCCCTCATAGAAATATTGACATCTACAACTTCTCATGTCATACATTCCAGATTATACATGACGATACATCATTGTGTGTATCATCACTATGTGCATTCTTGCTTGAGCTTTTGTTATTCTACAGCCAAATTAACTAAGCATCTTTTCCTCTCTTCAATACTGACAGTTCTGGACTAAGCTTGTATGAATATGACCTGTACTTTAGTGGTATATAGTGCTGGCAAAAATATGATTGATGGTTAATTCCATTGTACAATCGCCACAGTTAAAAGGTGTCATTTAGTTTGATTCAACTTATGCATTATCTTAACATTCATTATCTTAACATGCTTGTTAGGAGAAAAGGCAACAGCTTCTTACTGAAATACGGACTCTTTGTGAGGCACCTTGTTATGAGGGTCTTGTGGAATTCCATGGAGCATTTTATAGTCCTGACTCTGGGCAAATAAGCATAGCCTTAGAATACATGGATGGAGGATCACTGGCTGATATTTTACGATTGCAGAAAAGAATACCAGAACCAGTGCTTTCACATATGTTTCAAAAGCTTCTGAATGTAAGGAAATTATTGTTTGGTGGTAGGTTCTTATCATTGCAGCAGTTTGACCTGCCCAGAACATGCATCTTTCTTTTTCAGCTAATATCTTTTTTCGTTTTATATTCTCCTTTAAGGGACTAAGCTACTTGCATGGGGTTAGGCATTTAGTTCACAGAGATATCAAACCAGCAAATCTGCTCATGAATCTCAAAGGGGAACCAAAAATAACAGATTTTGGGATAAGTGCTGGCCTAGAAAATTCTGTCGCAATGGTCAGTGACAGATGCTACTTAATCTGTGTGATATCTTTCTTTTTTCTTTTTTTTTTAAGCTGTTTCTGTACTGCATGTTAACTTGAATTGGCTCAAATAAGTACTGTGAATGTTTGGGAGTTGTTGCTTACTTGTTCCTGACTTTAACGTATCAGTGTGCTACTTTTGTTGGAACCGTAACATACATGTCACCTGAGCGAATTCGGAATGATAGCTATTCTTATCCAGCTGATATTTGGAGCCTAGGTCTTGCTCTCTTTGAGTGCGGCACAGGGGAATTCCCATATACAGCTAATGAAGGACCGGTCAATCTTATGTTGCAGGTAAAATGACATGTTTAAACCATTCTTTCTAATTTTGTTTCCTTTAAATTTTTCTTCTGAGCATGTTATTTTTCGCTGTTTTCAACCAACATTATTGTTCTTCATGAAAGATCTTGGAAGACCCATCACCATCACCATCCAAACACAACTTTTCTCCAGAGTTCTGCTCATTTATTGATGCTTGCCTTCAGAAGGATCCAGATACTAGGCCGACAGCAGAGCAGGTAAACAAAATGATAGGTGGGATCTGTAACATTCAAGTGAACTTGATGAGGTATTCTTAGGAATATAAATGGGTAGGAAAAAATAGGAATACCTTCTCCGAGTATTTCAGCTTTGTGGCAAAAGACCATTTCTTTCAGTATGTCAAAAGTTATTTTTGAAACTTGAAATGTTGGAGTCAGTAAATGCCTATGGTTCTTCGATCTTGTCATTTTTTATTTGCTGTTTTTCTGACTGCAGCTTCTTTCACACCCATTTATTACAAAGTATGCGCACACTGATGTTGACCTAGCAGCATTTGTCCAGAGTGTGTTTGATCCAACACAGAGGATGAAGGATTTGGCTGACGTAAGTATACAACATTCAACATATTTGTGAGTGTCTCTGCATCAATGTTAATGAACTTGACTTAATTCTGCTCTACTAAGCTTCAATCCCAACTTTCTGGTATATAGATGCATAGAAACATGATAAACATGTGCACATGTGCATGTGTATCGTGTGTGTGCGTTTTAACATGTTAGTGCCTGGAGTGAGCTGAATTTTGTGGGGGTGTGGAAATGAAATTTCAGAAATTCAAATTTGGAGACAATCTGAGAGCATCTTACGAGTCATGCAGCAAAAGCATGGATTTAAACTGATTATATGCTTACTTGTAGCAGCATAGACCCAGCACTTGATAGAACTACTGAAGAAATTTCCATGTCAAAGTCAGTATTGTTTCGTCTTTTTTTGAGTTCTTTTCTCATAGATCTGCGAAGTCCCTATATTCTGATTTGATGTTAAGTGGGAGTTGGAAGCTCAAGCGCTTTCGTATCTTCTAGTTTTGATCTTCTGTGTGCCTTTGTCTAGAGTAAAAAGTCAAGCATGCATCTCATGTTGAAAAAATGAACAATGCCTGAAGCAGTTGAAGCTGCACTATTCCCTGATTACAATTCTGAGTGAATATTAATATATCTTTACATGAACAGATGCTGACAATACACTATTACTTACTTTTTGATGGGCCTGAAGAACTTTGGCAGCACACAAAGGCCTTTTATAATGAAGGCTCGATTTTTAGGTACTGAATTATGCTATGCCATTGTCTCCTATATTTTTCATGAAATGTGGAATTTTGTAGTTCTGGAAAGAGAGTTCAGCAATAGCGGTTGAATTGTGCCCTACAAAGATATAATCTGAAGGAGCTTACTGCTTTAATTCATTCAATCTATGACTTCAAAACAATTAATAAGGTGTGGTTTTATAAATTTCATTACCATAAAATGTAAAATCATACAAAAGAAAGTATTAGGGAATAGATAACATTTGTGAACTAATTGGTGAATATGATTAAAACCACTAGAGTTTTGTGGTCAAATATTTTTTTTTCGGTGTTTGGTCAAATATCTTATTACCAAAAAAATATTTATGATAGCTAGCATCGATCAGGCCAAATGAATATCCAAAGAAACCAAATTTCCGAACCTCTTCCCTGAGTAATTCTTCTTATGAAGAATGATGGTGATCATTGCAGTGACAGTTATGGTGATTTATTTTCTTTGGTGGCTTGGTGTAGAGATCTGGCAAAGAGAGGATGGTTGGACTGAAATTTGATACAGTTAGCTTTTTTTTAATATCTTACTTTGGAATTGCAGGTCAATATGATATGTTTTTTTGTTTATATAGCCTAAGATATGTTTCTTGTTCTTTCTAGTTTCTCTGGGAAACAATCTGTCGGTGCAAGTGATATATTTGCAACTTTGTCCGACATACGGAGTACATTAGCTGGTGAATGGCCTCCTGAAAGGCTTGTTCATGTTGTGGAAAAATTACAGTGCCGTGCTCATGGTCAAGATGCAGTTGCAATCCGCGTCTCAGGATCCTTTATAATTGGAAATCAGTTTCTTATATGTGGAGATGGTGTGCAAGTTGAGGGACTGCCAAATTTTAAGGATCTTTCAATTGACGTCTCAAGCAAGCGAATGGGTACATTTAAAGAACAGTTTATAATGGAGCCTGGAAATGTGATTGGGCGTTACTTCATTGCTAAACAAGAGCTTTATATCTTTCAGGAGAATAACTGACGATTATTGTTTTCTTTGAGGTTAGTAGATTCAATAGTTCGAAGAAATTCACCTGACTAAAATGTTTTTCATTATTGTTGTTTTGGTGGCTGTTGCAATCATTTATTCTTTGGTTAACGCTAAAGATACTTGATTTTTTATGAAGTAAGGTGGCATCATGTGATTCATGTTTTATCGGTCACTCAATTTCTTAAGTATAATTAGCTTCTTTAGGTTCCTCCAGTTACAGTGTTCCCCCGACACTAAGCTGTCCTTGTTCCTTCTAACTTTGAACTTCTTTTGTGACAGATATGAAACAATTCCTTCTTCATCTGCAGGAGCTCCAAAGGTGTTTAAATTACTTGTTCCACTCTGTCTAAGTACGAGCACATTTTATGATATCATGGTTCGAATGGCAAAGATGATTTTGATCTTAGCAAATATTTATTGCTGTCTTGTTTCCAATCAACTCTGCCTTTTAGCTGTTTTGATTGGGACAATATTTAGCATATGATATTTTTATTAAATTGACGAAACGAAGTCTTAAGGATATCCGACTGCCCCAGCTTCATTCCCAATAGCAAAGTTTTCAATGCCAGAAAGTATTGACCAACCTGGGTTTCTGAACCTAGTTTAACATTTCCAATCAAATCAAATGCCGTACAACTTACAGGGCTAGATTGCAAATCTTGAACCAGAAACTGAAGGGGGCCTCATGCACTTTAACCAGATGAGCCATTAACCATGTGGGCAGCATCAGTCACTGCCCCAGGACTCACTGCGGAGAGCAATTTCCATAACTTGTTTCCATGCGTAATCAAACCAAAATCCAAGTTTTCAATTAATTAAAAAATTCTAATGACCTTCGGTTGAAATGATTCTGATATGTTCTAAGAGAGTACATGTGTGAAATTATTTACTACTCTTATTAGATAGAAGCATCAGACCCACAAAAAACTGCAGTTTCAACCAGGGATGGATACAAGAGTTGAGTGCAGTGAGTATCCCATCCCTGATACACTGAATAGGGTCTACTGTTTGTCAAAAAGGATCACATCACTAGACAGGCTAGAGAAAAATCAGTGTAAGCTACATATATACGCGTATTTGAAGTTTATCCTACAAGCATTCTGAAGATCTACACTTGAGAAAAGAAAAACCTTGGGTCAGTAAATTGATGACAGATGATGCCCAAAATATCCTCCATTTTCTTGCTTTACGTTTCAAGTTCATCCCTGCAAAGTGAAAAGCCAACATTGCCAAGCTCAGCATTAAAATAAGCGTTCAACTATTTATCGAAAAAAGCAGTGAGGAATGGAAGGAAAACAGAACTTACCATATACATAATTTGGATAGAACTGATGCACCTGCCACGAAGGAATAAATGACATGTAGGAAAACCTTTTACTGTCCTTTCCTGGAAAACTAAGCTGCTAGAAAGTAATCTCTGATGGTTCTTTTCAAAGAAGAGGGAGGGTTCAATACAGAAGAGGGGCTCTTCATTGCTGCTTCAGGGGTTTTCTCAAAAGATTCTTTTGAATCAGAATCTGGTGAAAACTTTTTTTTATGGGCTTCAGGAGTCCTAATTGTAGGCATTGTGATAGGACTGGGTGAGTTATTTTGGTGGATTACTTCATCTGAAGGAAGCAGATTGTCAGGAACCTTAGTTGGACTCGTTAAATGTTCATCATTCATCAGAAGTTCTCTACATTCCTCTCTTGGGATTGCCATTACCCTCCTTCGAATGGCAGATGAAGATCTTGTCGTGCTTGAACAAAAAATGCTCTGAATGTTCCAGATGCGAACCTAAGAAAATAGAGTCGTAGAGAAAATGAAATATTGGAAATTAAGAACGGAGAGTATGATACATAGCAATAAAGCATGGTAAGAAAATGGAAGGGGATTCAATTTCCAGGATGCATCAATTGACTTTGTTAGGAGAGTTTAGCTTACTGTATAATCATCTGAAGAAGTTGCTATCTTCCCAACCTCAGATGGACACCTGCAACAGATGCGAGAAACAATCGGTAAGTATGTGAAGTCCGCTAATTAAAAAGTATATGGTCTTGAAAAAATTACCAATCTACTGCTGTAACTTCTCCATTATGAGCTATCAATTTGATGGGATCCACATCGGGCTTGTTCACCTGGCAGAGCAAGCTAAACAAATTATACAGGCATTTCCATATGTAGGTGTTTCCATCACTAAAGCTAAATAAAAACCCTTTCTTCAAAGAAGGAACCAAACCTGCCATATGTAGGCGTTTCCATCACTAGATCCACTGAGTATGTGAGCTGCATCAGGACTGATCGCTGACTGCAATTGAACAATTCACATCAACATGGATAGCTACAAAGCATCATTTGGCAAGAGAGAACTTGATGCTTGAGTTTCTAAAGGAAGATGATGTTTTAGGTTCCCCAGGGAAAAAGATAAGGTCCATACCTTGACGTAGAATGATTCTATCCGACATTCAGAAAATGACTGCACCGGACCCTTATCAAGCTGAAGTACGTTATACAAGTATATTCTGCAGAAGAAAGGAGAAAAATATAACGTTTTTTGTAGATACACTGTATGCATCTATTTTTAATTTAAAAGGAAAAGTTGTTAAAGAAAACTGCAAAATACCTATTGTCCATGCATGAAGCTGTAAGAAACACGCCATTTAAATCCTGGGACAGGCTTGATATGCCATGTAATCTTCTTTCCTGAAACAAGGATAATAAAATATAAAGTAGGCTGATATATAATTGACATCACAAATTTGAAGAAGATAACTTGGCCTTTTCTATCTACGGAACATTAAGTCTATATAACACTTAAGAGATGGGACATGTCGGCAACAGCCATTTGGCTGCACTGACCTTCTCAGTTGATAACTTCATATTAGGGTACGCCTGAGTGACCTGAGCCTTTAGATTTCTAATGTCCCAGAATTTGACAGTGCTGAAACATGACAAGTAGTTGAACGAAAGTCAGTATACTACTACCTCCGCTGAAGAATAATAACTTACACTCATGAAATCCTGCACGAACCTGTCCACTGCTCCAGCAGTAGCAATGGAGACCTCGTCTTTAAGATAAAGAATTGATGTAATGCTCATCGAAGCAGCCTGAAAGAACTATAGCGTTAGCAGCAAATAAGATACTTGGGCTCAAATTTAAAAGAAAAAAAAAGAACTTTCTCAAACAATAAAACTAACTAACAAACCTTTCCCCGCCTAACCCGCTTTGCTCGAGAAGAAAGATGAGCTCCTTGGACCATGGCAGTTGAACTGGATGGAATAAAAACAATAGTATCAATCATAGTGCGATTTACCAACCGAAATAGAACCAAGAAAAGCTAATTTTCACAAACAATTGCACATAACAAAATCACAACGTTGTGAATTACATAAATAAAAGGTGCAACGAACTCACGTGACATGTGCTTCACTGCATCTACTTTTGGCAGTGGTCTTGCATCTCAAATCCCAAATCGCAAACGACCCATCTCTGGAAGCCGAAGTAAGAATATCTGTGGAATAGTTATGGAATAAATTATAGGATAGGATTAAGATATTAGTCGCTGCGGTCAATAGAAGTCAATGAAAGACAGCTACCAGAATTTGTTGGATGTGGAGACAGAGATTTAACACTTCCTGTGTGCCCCATCAATACTCCAGTACATTTCTTCTCTTGTGCATCCCATACCTTTATCTGTAAAACAAATTTTAACTGGGTGATTTTTTTATTTTTGACACTAAAATGACTGCAATATGTATGCTGCTAGCTAGGTAGGTCTTTTTCATAATTCACATGATCATTAAGTAATAAGTTGCTGTAAGATGTAAATTCATCCTGAAAAACAGAGCCGTTGGTCAAGCAAGCTACAATACTCCATAGATATTGAATAGGTGACAAGACATGGGCAAATACAGATGATTATTGATATCCATACTGTGTGTTCAAGTAAAAACGCAAAGATTACCAACAATACTACAACAACAGCAATCAGCATTATCATGCCATGAGAAATAAATTATAATATACTTACAGTTTGATCTCCTGAAGCTGTGAGTATGTTGGTATCTTCCTGAAACAAAATCCACAATCCAACAACTCATTAGATCAATTAAATCTTTCCCATTATTTATTACTTAAAGCATTTATAAAAATAATAAAAATAACTAAAGACGGCTAGGTAAATTTTATGACATGCGATTAACTTAACATTATAAGCCAAATCACTAGTGTAGAGCTCACATTAACCCCAAATCACTAAGTTAGTGCTGAGACCTGATTAAGTAATTGCTTGTAGTACGTACATATATACTTATTTTTATTTTTATTACCATTAATTAACCTTAATCAGATGGCATCCTAATTTAATATTAGAATGGAAAAAAGGCCTAATTTATTCCAAATTTCTCTTTCTATTTTACCTGCAATAATATGATAAATCAAGTGACATGAATGTTGAGAGGTATTTTACCTTAATCCAACAAACATCAAAGATAGCATTCTGGTGAGCTACCCAGTCACTGATTCTTTCTTTCCCTATAAACCACATGATTAATTAATCAACTGATTAATTGATATTTCTAATTAATAACAAAAAGAAAAGAAAACCAAAACAAAACAACCTAATTGACCTGCAATTTCTGTGTGAGAAGCAAAAGAAGGGAATTTCCTACGAGTGTCAAACAAGCTCACATGCCCATCCTCATCCGACACTGCGAATATGTGTGAATTTTTACTCGTTTTGCAAAAAGAAACAGCCAGTGGTGGCGTTTGCTCGCCGTTATGTTCGACCGCCACCGCTCCGATTTCTGTGAAATCGGATCCCAATTGGCTAATAAACCGCCGTTTTCTAGAACCATCGAGCTCTCTTGATCTCATGTCGTGAAAGAATGATTTGGATCTGTTAGAGCTCTCCATTTACAATGAATAACTAATCGTACTGTTTTTCGTAGCTTCGCTTTGGAGAGAGAAAGAGAGAGTGTGTACTGTGTGTTTTTGTTGAAGAAATCGTTTTATTCCGACCAATTTGGTTTGGCGCCCACGGGAGAGTCGTCGTCTCAACCACGCGGGAAACTCAAATTTTCTTTTTCGTCTTTTTACCGCTGATTTCTTTTTCTTTTTTTCTTTTCTTTTTTTTTTTCCCCTCTCGTTTTTTGATATCCACCAAACAAACTAATGGTCCAAAGTTTGGTACATTTGTGGCTTTAACAGTAGTGTTTATTGTGATAATTGCAATTTACTGCCCCAACTCAAGTTTGGAATGACTGATACGTGTTTTTTACATGTTTTTTTTTTTTAATGTAATGCAAATATGATATTTGTTTTTGGTTAATAATGAAAAGTTTTAATAATGTCGTTTAAATCACTTTTTAAAAAAATTGAAAAAATGACTTGGTTTATCTTTATATATTGAGCAAAGCAAAGTATCTAATATATCCATATATTTTAAAATAAATTAATTATATGTTTATTATTTAATTGAGTTTTCAATTTATTATTTTAATAAATTTTTTTTATCAAATCATATGAAAATATCATATAAATTATACATGAATTTTTTTTTATGAAAGTGCTTCTTTTCTACTCAAGATTCTTTTCAATATAATGCTAAGTAATATGATCTTTTTATGTTGTTTGGTTAAAAAAATTGATCAAAATGATAGATTAAAAACTTGTTTAAATAACGGAGATATAATTGGCTTATTTTAGGATATAAAGACACATTGAATATTCAATCCATTATATAAGAACGTACCGGATAATTTCTCCCAAAAAATACTAACTATTGATCCTTGAACTATTTAGTGTCGAGTTTCTCCACATGTTATTCCCGTATTCTTCAAATTGTTTTGATTGAAATCTTGTATTGTTTTTTGTTTTGATTGAGTCTCTCTACTCTTTATTTTGTTTTGTTTTTGTTCTTTCATTAGAATGTTATTACTTGTGAGCCGACATGGCTTTGACATAGTGCATCCACTCCTAAATCTATTTAAGGTTGATGTAATTATCCGGAGAGCCAACAAAGACTATTTAACAAAGTCACACTTATAGGAAATATGTGACCTTGTGTGTGTGTGTGTATAAAGATAAAAAAAAAAAAAGTTAGTGATTTTGTCATGTTAAAGTTGAAAAGAAAATGAGAGAGAGAGAGAGAGGCTCACTCATCCACCGGATCATCACTTTTCTTGTCATACTTATTTATGAGACTTAGAAAGCTCGAATGTGCAATTGTTATAGAGTTTTGCCTTGCTAGCTATTCTTAATAATGTTTGATATATGGGATAACCACTATCAATCCCAGTATCGCTTAAATTTATACTTTCAAATAAAAGAAATTTCAAGATAATTGAGACATCCTCCAACGTAGGGATGATTTCTCCCTAAACAACCATAAGAAAATAGCATCCAAAACCCTAACAACTCTCGGTTGGTCAATGTGTATGTTTTTTATAAAATCCTATATGTTTATTCTCACTATTTGGAAGACATTGGTCTTGTCTTGTATTGTCATTCTTTTCTTCGTTCGGATAGGTGAATGAAGATAGAGAAATGCAATTTTTTCTCTATCTAAAATCATAGACAACAATGAGTTATGATGGGATCATTATTAAAACTCATTTTGAGTTCTCCACATATGAACCTTCTTGCATAGGAGTTACTTTTTAGCCAAACAGCTTCCGTCCAAGCCTTGGTCGCTTTTTAAAAGTCATCTAAAAGGATAGTTGAATCCTTTCATATGTTGTAATGAGGGACATGTATATCCTTTTCTTTACCTCTATAAAGTCTCTTAGCTAGTGGAACATTTTTCTTCTTAATATGTTGATGCTTTATCTTGCAACCTAGAAGAGAGAGTTGGGAAGGGGGAGAGGGAGGGAAAGAGAGGAAATAACACAAGTATAAACAAAAAGATGAGTGAGAGAGAGAGAGAGAAAGGAAACAAGTTAGTATAAACAAAAGGACGATGAATGAAAAAAAGACGCAAAATCAACAATGTGAAGAAAAAGAAAAAAATAAAAAATAAAATAATGATGGTATGTGTAGCCGCATTAATTGTTGGCTAGTGTAAACTAGTCGTTAGTTTGTGTGACCAACGATAAGGGTCGGTCTATGCAAACCAAGCAAATTAGTTGGTTTTATATAGCTAAGATCTACCTAATGCACAAGGTGTGATTGAAAAATAACACCCGAAATATTTTAACAAATAAATAATAATTCGATAGAAAATATATTATAAATTATTATGAATTAAAACAAATAAAATTCAACAAGTCTAAAATGAACAACAAATATAGGAAAAAATGCATAATAGACAAAACGATATAATTTAATAAATAAAATTGATCTTTAATTATAATTGTCATAATAATCTTCTAAGTTTTCCTCTCCTTCGACTTGATCTCGATACATATTCATTCTCTTCTTCTTCATTGGTTTTAAATATTTATATATCTATAAACGATCCATTTGGATTATTCAACGACTACTCTTCACCATCGTCTTAGATCAAATTATGTTGGATTTTTTAAGCGTCCTCTTGAAAGGGATTTGTATTCTATTGGACTCCACTATACGATTTTAGCAAATCAACGACAACCCTAGATTTTATCTTACAAACAACTCATCAATCCCGACGTTTGCTCTTTAAGATAGGACAAACAACACAAAATATTTAAGCCTTTGTGCTCGCTAGAATAAAAGGTTTTGTGTCTATTAAAACTCCTTCTATAATTTATCTCTCGCTAGTCTATATTATGGATGAACCCTTGTTCCATTCGATGTAGGATCAAACCAATCATATTTGAACATAACCCTTCTCTTGATTGATGGTGCGGAATACTCGAACTATAAAATTTCAATCAATATCCAAGTAATAGTCACTCTAATATGCAAGTGTAATTAGATCATTTAATGCATACTTTACCGTTCATACTTGCTCTACTTGCACCATGCTCTTATTTATGGAAGTAATATCCATTCACAATGTACCCTAGATACAACTTTATAGTATGTAAAAGATTTTTTTTAAGATCTTTTACGAATCGGTCTATCATACGAGTTGGTTGTGCATAGTTTGTGTGAAAAATCGAGATCCACGATAAGAAGTTTAGTTAAGAGTCAAAGAGAATCATTTCACAATCCTAAACTAAAATAAGAAGACTCACATATTCACTAAATCATTTAGCAAACTCAGTTTCAAGTTGACCATCAACATCATGTTCAAGCATATAAGGATTATTTTGTTACAAGTGGGCAATGTATATACCGTGAAAAAAATCACATGCTAGTAAGTTTGTATATTATGATGGCTAATTAAAGATCAAAAACTTACTCAATGTAAGGTTTAACTTATTGACAATTCAATAATATATATCAATGGGATGCTTGAAGGATCATGCATCCTATAGAGGTGTAGAATAAAAAAAAATTTCTCCATCTAAAGAGACCAAGATCATGGCGTTGAATCAATGAATCATATATCCATCAATTAAATCTCTAAATAAAAAATTATCTCTTTTCACACTGATTCAAACGTTTGTAGAAAAGAGTCATCCAAGTTTCGACCTCTATCGATAATCCACGTAATCCAAGCACTCCACAAGAAGCACTCAAATTTGATAGAGTGCTAGCTCGACTTTTTCTGAATTGTTTAGTATTTTACTTTAGAAATCAAATCAAGAAAACTTTGCGATAACCCAAAGGAGAGAGAGGGAAGGTGGCATGTGCTAGGGTTAGGGAGAAAATTATTTTCTCTTTATTTTTCTTGACAAGCCGTATGCCCTAAAATATTTCCCTTTATGCCGTTTTTCTCTTTTCTAAAAGCTCTACATCTCTCCTCCTATTTATAAGGAGAGAGTTTCCTTATCCTCCAAGTATAAGGAGGGGAGATAACTCATCCTAATTGGACTCTTGTTTGTTTCTTCCTAATCCTCAAAGGATTAGGAGTTCTTTAACATGTGGATTTTTTATCTTTATCTTTAAAATATTCATCCTTATCCAATAAGGTGCATGTTTATCCTTCTAGCAAAATATCTTTTAGACTTTTAATTAAACTCATTTGCCCAAAACTATTTTGGCCCAATTAATTAATTTGGACTATCCAAATAAATTAAGGTAGATCATTTTAGGAGGCCCATATTAGAAAATAATTTTTTATATTATCTCAGTAAATCTAAATTAAGAAACTACTTTCTATTTTAGGTTATTTACTTCCAAATTTGGAAACAACTTCCAAATTAGGAAACCGATTTCTAAAATAGGAAACTTTTCATACTAGGAAACTTTCATTTTAAGAAACCTTCCATTTTAGGAAACTTTTCATTTTTAGAAACCTTTTTCAAAATATGAAACTTTCAAAATTGAAATTTTTTTCAATATCTTTGATTCTCTTTAATCCTATGAATGCTTAAACATGTGACTTAATAGGCTCCTATATATATTGGGAATGTATCAAAAATAAAAAACACTCTTTTATCTCTTGATACAAAAATCAAGATTGGTCTCTAGCAAGGCATTGTAACTACTCAATTCTCTAGGAGGATTAATTAATCCTCAATTACCTTTCACAAGTATGGTTACCATACAATTCATTCCTTATGTTAACTTATCACGAGTATGATATTGAATTTGATTATTAGTCTTATTCGATTATGATCACATAAGTTTTCTTTGATTCCCAAATGTATGAGCTCATGGAGTAAACCAACAATGCTCTAAGTGGTATACTTCTACTATGGTCACAGCATTTTTTGATTAGATATTCATCAAAGTGCAATATGATAACTCTTTTAGTATATAAGGAATGATATGTCCTATCTTAGTCATCCAACTACCTCATTTTGATTTCTAGTGCACCCAATAAATCGCACACGTGCAACCCTTTATTGGGTTCATGAAACGAGTGTCAAAGTGTATAAATC